GCTGAGCAGGAGCTTCTGGATGCCACTGAACGTGCACAGCTCCTCCACACCCAGGTCAGGCGCTGCTGGAAATTATTTGCATTGACAAGTGAGAGCAAAGATTTAAATTGTTATTGCTCTTGTAAGTGATTACTGTGTAAACATTTGAAGAAGTGTACTGCAATATATCCCCTCCATCCAGCTCTCAATATCTGGTTTACTGCTCTGGTGCTAAAGAAGTCTCTTGCACTAAAGACTTCCCTAAACTCTAGCTGCATTTTCAGGCCTTGATGTTGAAGCATTTGGTCTGACAATAGGAATCTTGTGTTTTCTGTTGCACAGAACACCAGCTTGATCAACACCAAGAAGAAGCTGGAAACGGACATTTCCCAGATCCAGAGTGAAATGGAAGACACCATCCAGGAAGCCCGCAATGCTGAGGAGAAGGCCAAGAAGGCCATCACAGATGTGAGTTGGGTGCTTCTGAAATTGCTGGGGATGAATGTACTCTCCCCAAAATATGTCCAGCCCCAAAATGGCTTTGACCTTTTGCTTTGATCAGGCGGCCATGATGGCAGAGGAGCTGAAGAAGGAGCAGGACACCAGTGCCCACCTGGAGAGGATGAAGAAGAACCTGGACCAGACAGTGAAGGACCTGCAGCACCGTCTGGAAGAGGCTGAGCAGCTGGCACTGAAGGGAGGGAAGAAACAACTTCAGAAGCTGGAAGCCAGGGTGTGTAGGGCTGGGGCTGTGCCTGAGTGAGTGTGTCTCTCCTTGGAGTGCCATTGTCAGGGAAGCTGCAGGGATGGGCTTGTCCTTGCAGGTGCGGGAGCTGGAAGGGGAGGTTGATGCTGAGCAGAAGCGCAGCGCTGAAGCCGTGAAGGGTGTGCGCAAGTACGAGCGGAGGGTGAAGGAACTCACCTACCAGGTAAGGCAGGAGCTCTCCTGCTCTCACAGGGCTTTCTCACAGCGAGTCACATTTTGCCCACACCATTCCCACGGGCAATTGTTATCCTCACATGTTGCAGAACAAAGAATTGACTCTCTATTCTGTTTACCAACTGCTTTAGTCTGAGGAAGACAGGAAGAATGTCCTGAGGCTGCAGGATCTGGTGGACAAGCTGCAAATGAAAGTGAAATCTTACAAAAGACAAGCTGAGGAGGCTGTAAGTATTGATTGGAGAAAAGGCAAATATTCCATTGGGGCAGGACACATGCTGAATAAAGGTGAATACCAGGAGAGGGGTATGAATGAAGTTTCAGAGACACAACTGTCTTGGCCACGCTGCTTTGCTATGGTTTCTTGAGGACTTGGTGAGCTCTGGGCACCCTGCACTCAGGGACATTCATTAAGGGAAGTTCTGCAGCCTGTTTCACACAGAAGGCCAGAGTAAACAAACCCAGGGGCGACACCCACTGACTGACAAGTTCCTGAATCTCTGCTAATAGCAGCAGAAGGCTTCCTGGTCTTCTTTATCGAATAACTCACTCAGACTAGTGTCAGAGTAAGTACAGAAATGATAAATTGAAGGGTTGAAATTGCTCCTCACATATGACATGGTCCTGGTGAAGCTTGTCCCAGCAGGGACAAGGTTCTGAAATGGTGAGGATGAGGAGCCCTGTGTGAGGCTGTTTTGTGAGCAGTGGTGGGAGGGGGATGGAGATTTGCTGCAGGAGTGAAACCTATAACGCTGACTTCCTGCAGGAGTGAAACCCTTGCCCTGGACTCATCACCCCTGATTCCCTTTCCCCTACAGGAGGAGCTGTCCAATGTGAACCTCTCCAAGTTCCGCAAGATCCAGCACGAGCTGGAGGAAGCCGAGGAGCGGGCTGACATTGCAGAGTCTCAGGTCAACAAGCTCCGAGCCAAGAGCCGTGACATTCATGGCAAGAAGATAGAAGAGGAAGAGTGAAGATGTTCTGAGACAGCAAAGTGACCTGAGGGCTGCACAAAATGTGAACCCTCTGTCACTGTCTTCTAGATTTGATATTTTCAAGCATCTCAATACATAGGGAATAAAGAGTAGATTCATTTGCATTCACGTCATGATTAGTTACCATTTGTTTTTTACGGTTGAGGTCTGTATCACCATTAGTCTTTGGACACAGTTTTGTCTTATAAAACCTTTGTGCAGCTTTGAGGTGGTACAGCTTTTTATCATCTAATTTCCAAATGGTTATCCCTTCAATAACATTTTAGCAAAAGAACAAAGACAGCTTCTTAGTCACATAAGTAATCCTGACAGACACAGAGTGAAAGAGAAAAGTTGTTTGTGCTGTTGCCTGTGTTTGTCAAGCAGCTGTTGAGTAATTCAGAGTATGTTGAACAGGAAGAACATATTTTCAATGAAATTATGTTAGTTATTTCAGGCACTAAGGAAGGACAAGGAATTGTACATTAGAAATGTACATTAGAAGGCTTCCATGACACTCAGCAAACAGTGTCATTAAATAATACACCATATTTGATACTGTTAAATTACAAAATTGTACAGATACAGAAACAAAATGCAATGCCATTTGTGAAGATATGGAGTCTGGGCTGAGAATTCCCTTTCAGGAGGGAGGTCTGCCACGTGTTCTGCGTAATTGTGTGAAAATATCAGCTCATTTCTCTGCAGTGGTAGCAGAAGAGAAAATAAGAAGAAACAAGGCCAAGGAGACTAATTGCACCCAGGGACTTAGGAAGATAAGTTTTCTAAGATAACCTTGTATGAAAGGAAAAGGGCAAACTGCACCTCTGTAAGAAGATGCATCATTTATTGGAAATGTGCATCAAATTCCCTGTCTCAGTAGATAGCCATACAGGTTTGAACCCTGCAAGTGGACCTAAAATCTTGGGATGTATACATGGAAGTATATTAAATGGTACCAGTAGGTCTCATCAGAGAGATCAGCTTCAAGCTGGAGGCCCAAGGCAGTGTTGGGGACTGGGCAGGAAGTTGAGCACCCCCCAACTTTGTGGAAGTTGAGATGAGGGGTAAGCACTGGCAGGGATTGCAAGGAAACTCTGCCAGGGATTGCCTATCTGCTCCCCCCTGGGTGGAGAGAGCCTGAACAGACCATGGGTGCAATGAGGCAGCGGCCCACTATCCCACTTACCTCTGTCCATTGGTCATGTGAAGAAAGCACAGACACCTGTGGTGATGCCCCAGGGTGGGTGCTGGTGTAGGGCACAAAGACGTCAGTTGAGCTGTGGCCGTGCCTTTTGCCTCACCATTTAGGCTGTTGATATCAGGGCAAGGGTCCTTCAGCTCTATTCTCATCTTCAGGGCCCATCAGGCTCCTGTCAGTCACAGGGAGCTCCCGGGCAGCAGCTGAGCAGGCCCTGGTGCCAGGGGATGGCAGCCTGGAGCCATCGAGCGGATCCTGCTGTGGGCCCTGCTCCACTGCAGACCAGCAGGGAGATCTTCCTGAAACCTGGGTGCTTCAAACCTGCTGAAACTGCCTGGCCCATCCCATTGAGACCTGGGTGCTTCAAAACTGCTGAAACTGCCTGGCCCATCTCATTGAGGCGTGGGTGCTTTAAACCTGCTGAAACTGCTTGGCCCGTCTCCCTGAAACCTGGGTGTTTCAAACCTCCTGAAACTGCCTGGCCCATCTCTGTGAAACCTGGGTGCTTCAAAACAGCTAAAACTGTTGGGCCCACCTCACTGAAACCTGGGTGCTTCAAACCTCTTGAAAATGCCTGGCCCATCTCATTGAGGCTTGGGTCTTTCAAACCTGCTGAAACTGCCTGGCCCATCTCACTGAAACCTGGGTGCCGAAACTGTTTGGCCTACCTGTTAGGAGCAAATCAGAGGAGCTAAATTCCAGCCAGGTAGACCATCCAGTTTCATGTGTTCCCCACTGGGACACAACAAAGAACAGGTGGGATGGGCCAAAGAACAGCTGGAAATGTTTGGGTCATCAATGCTGGAAGAAAAGACCTTGAGCTGACAGGAGCAGGCACTGCTCAGGGCACAGGGCCTCACCTGCACTGGGCACTCTGCCCAGAAAGGGAACCACGGAGGTGCTTGGGAGTGTGTGGCTGACAAAAGGACAAGGCACAGTGCCAGTGGCCCTGCCACCTCCACTGCACACCCTGTGGAGCAGCCCAAGGAGAGCGACTGCTCTCAGGGTTGTATTTATTTGAAAGTAAGTGCTTGATGCTTCCCTCTTTTTGCAATGTTGAGGCTTATAAAAGAAGAGGGCAAGGCTTCCTGCTGATTCAGTGCTCCTATGCTACTCTTCTAGGTTTGTTTTCTTATTATAAACCTAGCCTTTTATCTGGTCTTAGCTGGACTGGAAGACATGCAATAACAACTACTGAAGGTATTTTGGCACCATCTCAGGTACCTAGTGAATGACAAGCATGTTTGGAAAGCTCCACGGTCTGCCTGGCTTCTAAGTCACAAATACTACAATTTCTCATGCATTTTAAACCTAGTAATTAACCAGTCAGTGTTGACAGGTAGGAAGCTTGTTGGAAAGTATATCAGTCAAAGAAGAAACAAGAAAAGTCTTTCAAAATAAGTAGGATTCTAGAAGGAAGGGTGTCCTATTTTTATGTCCTGTTGAGTAAAGTGTGAGTTACTAAGCCAAATTCAGTCATGTTTAGAAACTGTTCCCAAAGGTATCAGTGCAGATGGAGAAGACATCTAAAGAGCATTTGGCTTATAAAAGACACAAATGTAGTCCAGAAGAGCTCTTTTCTATTTAACAGTAATTCTGAGTTACAGAAACAACTCAAGAACAAATGCTTCATTAAATTCTCAACTCTTTGTCTTGTTCTAGACATTCTCAAACATTTTGTCATACCTTCTCAGAGTCAGAAGTGGAAAGCTTGATAATATAATTACTGAATGCATAGTAAAATTTCCATCAGAGGTGTTTGGAGACACCAGGAAGGACAGTGTATATTTATTCTCACTATGGTATTACTGTTCACTCTCAGATGACTTGTCTTATTAACATAAGCCAAATGGGTCACTGGCTGCCTGTCTGAGGGAATGTCTGGCATGAGAGATTCTGTCCATGGAGCTAAATCAACAGGGAAATGCAAGGCCAGTTACCTTCCCTCTGATGCACAGAGCTTAAGGTAGGTGCAAAGACTGCAGTTTGAGCTCCTGTGGAATCCAGCTGCTTCCTGACATCCTCAGCAATCTGGCATACTCTGGAAAGGGCACATTTCTGAATGGCTCAGCCACTTACTGCTCCAAAGCAAGGCTAAACTGAAAGCAGTTGGGTCCAGCCCAGGAGAAGTGGCAGGTAAAATTAAGATTAAAACCGACATCAGAAAAGTGTTCCTGCAGACTGTCCTCTATAGATGCTCTTTCTCTGAGAGCTCTGACCCCAGTGTCACCCTGCAGAGAGCCCTTTGGCTTTTCTCCACACACACCTGCTCTTTCACAGGAGATTTTTACAGGTCTGCATGGTTTGTTCCTGCTGAACTCTTCATGGTTGCCCTCAGTCCTTTTTGGTTTTTTCTTCCCCCAGGTTCGGTTTGTATGCCCTTCATAAATCAGTGTCTGTGCTAAGAATCTGGTGATGACAGAGAAAAACCTTTCCTTGGTAAGCATGTCCTCTTGTGCCCAAAATCTTTTGGTTCCCAGTGTCTTCTTGACTGGACGTGTCCCTGTGTGGCATGAGATCACATTACATAGGTTTGGTCTCAGTTTTGTGAAATGAAGAATTGTCAGATGATGATGGCTTTGGTACTTTGCCAGTTGCTTTGTTCCATTGGTTATGTTCACAATCCAACCCTGAAACTATTAGCGTGGCTAATTCTGTGACTATAGAGGTAAATTTGTTAAAAGAAATTTGTTAAAGAAGAACTAAGCTACTGGACAATCTGAAAATGCTCAGCTTTGTTTTGCTTCTTGGGGAATGAAATTACACACTCCTGAAGATTTGCCAAAGTCTAGAGACATTCGTGTCATGCACCTGCTCCTGTCAAAAATGGTGTTGAATTTCTTGTGTGATTTACTAACATGTCATGACTAATGGACTGCTGCTGATCCAGCATGAACTCCTGCTGCAGAGCATGAACTGTGTTGTTAACAACCAGTGTTTGCAGGAAGTCCTTCTCACTCTGCTGCATACACTTTAAATGTATCAGATTGTATTATTCCTTCTCTCCAGGGTGTTTTTCTGTTCTTTCATTTCGTAACTATTTGATCTAGATGGATCATTTTAATTCTTATCTCTGATGATTATGCAAAAAGTAGAAAAAATATTTAGGGGCACACTGCTATTATAATGTGGCACTGTGTGTGCAAGGGAACAGGCTGGGACTCTCAGCTGTGGCAGTGAATCTCATGGCCAAAGGAAGAACTGTGTACAGGAAAACATGGTAGGGACTGGATGTTTTGCTGTGGATTGTTGCTGAGATTTACAATTTCCATTGCCACAGAATGGACAAAGGTTTGTCCCCTATCAATGTGGGACCTTGCTGTGCCACGAAACCAGCCTGTTCATGGCTATTCTTTTGGTGTCTTGATCATTACATAATTATTTTTACTGTCGTGCTAGGATCAACAACAACAAATCCTAAAAAGATATTTTTGTTACAGTGTTGAAATGATTTGACTCCATGGAAATTTGAAGAACAGTTTAAATACTCACACAGATAGAGAGTGAAGGGCTGTGATTTGTATGCTGGTCTACTTCCAGGGAAGGGGTCCCCTACTCTGAAATGAAGAGCTATTATTGAACATTTTGCTAGTCATGAGAGCCAGCAATTTATAATTATAGTTAAAGACAGGAGACACAGCTTGTGTGAGCCTGGGAACTGGTTATGAAGCACCCTCTCTTGAGGACAGTGTTCTCTAAGGATATCAGTGGTTGTCTAATAAGGAATGAGGAGGCTGTCCTTCCTGCAACCTAGATTGCCTTCCCAAGGTGTCAGATTGAGCCTTAAACCCTTCAGATAAAAATCCAGTTTTAATTGTTTATATTAGTCTTTCTGCAGGAAAACCATGAATTGTGCAAGGGTATGCAGTCCCTGATATAATAGCTAACATGACATTTCACCTTCCTGAATTCAGCATCTGACAGCTTAAAATTTCTGAAACAAGTTTGTTGCACTGTTGTGGTCCCTCAAAGGTGATTTGCATTAATGTTCTTCATGTTTTGACTTTCTTGTTGGGAAAAAAAATTTAACAGAGAAACGGTGCTGTGTTCCAGTGATCAAAACAAATGCCCACATTCTTTTAACACCTTCATTAGCATTCTAAATGCTGGAACAGAGTGCACACACAGCAAATATGTTGATGATACAGAACTGGGAGGTGTGGCTGATACACCACTTAGCTGTGCTGTTATTCAGAGGGATCTTGGCAAGTTGAGAAACAGGTTGACATAAGTTCAGTAAATAAAAACTGACCTGGGGAGCAATAACCCCATGTACCAGCACAGGTCTGGGGATGACTGGCTGGAAAGCAGAAAAAGACCTGGTAGACACAAAGCCAACAGCATCCTGGGTTTCATGATGAAAAGTGTTCCGAGGTTTTGCATAAGATTATAGAAACAAGTTCAACACAGTGAAGGGTTATTGGGCACTAGTGATAATATTTGATATCTGGATACCAGTCTGGTGTCCACCAGAGGGACTGAAAGTGATTGGAGCCATCCCACAGTCTTCATAATACCATAAAAGGAAGAACAGAATGTGAATATTTTAATTTATATGCTGCTCTTGTGGCTTCCCTAAAAAAAATTGCATTTAAAGTGTAGAAAAGTTTGAAGTCTCTGTCTATTGGCTGAAGGGCAAACAGACTTTGTAACTAGCCATTGTCCATTCACTTTACTTTTGATGATGTCACAAAAGATATGAAATGGATGATATATATTTATTTTAAAGCAATCATAACATGTTTTAAATCAGATGTTTTTATTTCTTTCTTAATAAATGATTATTTTACAGTGCTTTGCACAAACTACTGCTACTGTGGGATTTTTTTAATAGAGAAAAACCTGCAAAGTTAAAAAATTAAAAATACTAGTTGGCTTTTCTGTTATAAATGGTACATTTGGGCAACACAAAATTCCCACACATTGCACTGTGCTGAACTTCACTGCACACTCTGTAACTTACAGAGGATTATCGGGATCAAAATGGAATATTAATAGCGGTGAAATGGAAAATTAATTTCTCCTCACTTTGTGATTTGTTGCCATACATGGAGGACAGGCATCATTTTGCAGTGACACACTATTCCTGGAGTCAGCCTGCCTGTCAGCTGGTAAGTGCTGATGTAAAGGTAACTGATCTTGGGAAAAACATGGATCCATAATAGGCATAAATATACACCTCTGAGAGAAAGCTTAAAATAGATGCATCTGATACCTTGTTTTTATTGCAGAGACTTCCAAGTCCATGATAACCTTGATGTGAAAGAGTGACAGGTATTTCTTAGAACATAAGAGCTCCATTCCCTTTCCTGTCATCAGAGATGGATGAACACATCCCTGTTCCACAGAAACTATTTTTCTTGAGTGACTTTATTTCCTTAAGGCTAACTAGAGAAAGTGCTTTACTCTGAATAATCTAATGCCCAAAATCCCCAGTATTACAATCAAATTGATTGGCATGTAATTTAAGGCTTGATACTGGAAATTTTTTTCACTCTGGGGAATGTTCACCATTTGCACATGCTGCTCATTCAAAATAAAGAGGAATTATGAATAAATATTATTTAGGCAGTGATAAGTAGAGGTTTTCAATCTTTAAAGGCAAATGTATAATTTCAAAAGAAAGAGCAAAGATGAATCTCTGGGAAATGTCTGAAGAAAAGGTCCAGCAGCTTTGGTATATTCTGTGTTTTTCCACCCAATTTCATCCTCATTGCCCAGTACCTCAATGACTGTCTCTTTAGACCATGGGTAACAGATCAATTTCCCAAATCTCTGCTTTTTCCTGTCATTGCAGGAGGGGCAGGCAGGTTGTGTCTGGTGCCTTCACCACACCACAAGTGCTTGTGAGCTGGAATGACCAAAGATGCAGCTGAAAACATCAAAGGAAGGGTAAGAAGACGTACTGGTGGTGACTGGGAGGACAGAAAGTATTTAGGACACTCCTGAGAGAATATGTGCTCACTGGGCACTGCAGGGTGAGCTGTTTTACAAGCAGGTGACTCTTGTAAATACAGATTGAGTGTGACCTTCATGCAAGCAACTGTGAAGCATAGAGCAGTGAGATCATGGTCCTTCTCACGAGGCCAGCCTGACCCCTGAAGAGGCACATCCTATGCAGGAACACTGTGAGTTTTGGGCGGCTTGGAAAACACTTCCAGTCAGTTTCTGTCAAGTTACTGAAAAGATCTATTTGAGAAGAAAGAAATATTTCTTTCTGAACAAGGTGGTCATTGAATAGAGTTAGTACTGAGCAGTAAACACCTTCTCCCACTGCTTGAAAACAGCTTTCCTTTTACTCACCTCTCTACTGCTTTTTGTTTTCTCCTGCCTCCTGGTCCATCCTGCATGTCTCTGTCTCCCTGTCTCTCTTGTTCCACCCCATCAGAATTATTAAAATGTTCATGAGAATGGATTAACTCCTTTATGATGAGAGACTTGAAAAGATTGGCTTGAATGATGATGGGTCATACTTGCTGAGTGATTGAAACTGATACAAGATGGATTTATTTATATAACTCCGTTGAGGAGAAAAAAAAAGAAAAAAACAAGGAGAAAAAAAAAGCTGAAGGAAGATATTAGAGCAAAATGAATGCATGCAAAGAGCCCATTTGCTAATTCGTTTTGAAAATTAGAGGAATGTTTCTGATCCTAAAACACCTATATATCCATATTTTGAGAACTTTAAAGGTAAACAAATTTTATAAAACTTAAAATCTGGAAGATGCCATAAAATTCTGATCACTGCAGTGGTGAGCACTATATCAGAAATTTTTTCCATCCCACTTTTGGTTTTCACTATGACTTGGCAATAATTTGTGACCTGATGAGATTACAGAATTGACTGTAAGTTAGATTGATTGTTACAGGCAGACTGGGGAGGTGACTGTTTCTGTGTTTCTATCCTTCTTATTTCCAAATGACAGCAGTCTTGCTTTTAATGTAAGGCTTCTTTTTTGTTCCAGATAGACTTCCAGGAGTTCCAATGTTCTTCTGCTCAAGAAGTTTTGGCTTTGTCATGCATACCAAATGAATGACAGGGATATTTATCAAGCCTCTCTAGCCAGGCAGATGTGTAAAACACAAACTATAGTCTTAGATAGACAAATGATATACCAAAATGCCCACTCATGAATAGCAATCTGCAAATCACAAAAATCATTTAACAAAAGCCTTCATGACATGCCAAACATTTCTCACGATTAGGGAGAGAATTGTCTGGGGGAGAACCATGTGCCTTGTAAATACTGAATTTATAACAAGGGCTGGGAATTTTACACTGACTGTTGTGACTCTATATCTGTTCTTCTGCAATGACTGATGGGATGGCCTCTTTCCAGAGTTAATGTTCATCATTATATTACATCACATAATTTTTTTTTTACTTTGCTTCTCTTTGTCTATGTTGTTAGCAGGAGATTAGTGCTCCCTGTGCTCTCTGGCATGCACCTCCCTTCTCTTTTGGATGAGCTGCTCACTGGAGGTTATACAATACCATGCTAGGAAAGGGTTCATTCGTGCCACATTGTACTCCTGACACTAGCAGGGGAATCACATTCTTCCTGCACATGCCACTTTGTTGGCCTGCATCAGAAGAGCCCTGGATGCTCTGCATAAAACAAAATCCAAACTTCCTTGTTATGCAGATAATCCACTGTCTACTGGCTGCCATGCCACGGGCTCTTCCCAAACAATCCAAGAAGCCATTGCATGTGTGGATTGTTTCCTGGGCATGTTAACAAGTCTTTTGCCAGGACTGCTCTGTCAGGACTGCCACATGGACATCTCAGCTGAGGACATCAGGGAGCTGCTGCTCTGGCAGGAACTACATTAAGCCCAGCACCTTCCTCTGAGCTAAATGCAAGTCACCATCAACAGCCCTGTTTCCCCACAGCTTTGAGGAGACTCATACCAGGTGACCAGAAATTTTCTCTGAGGGGGAAAACTGTCAGATTGACACAGGGTCAGTGATTCTTTCATAGTTTGGAGAGGGTGAGTTACTTCAGCTGCACTGCACTGACTTCCAACTCCTCTCTGGCCCATTTTCCCTTCCTTCTATCCCTGTCCCTCAGGAGATGACGATGCTGTTCTGACTCAGGGCTGACTGAGCCATGCTGACTGTGGTAGGCAGGTTCCAGGCTCTCCCTGTTCAGTGGGTCTGGGATGACAGCAGAAGAGGATGACAGCACCCCTACTCACTAACCCCTCTCCCAGAATTTTGGGGAAATGCTTGGTTGAGCAGCAATTGAGGGAGGACAGGAAGTGTCAAAGCACAGAGCATATTGTTGTGTGAAATCTTCCACAGGAAAATTCAGGAAATTCCCTGACAACTTTGCTGCATTAGTGCCTACTACATTTTTTGATACTGGAGATGGGGGTGGGGGCAGTGGGGGGGATAGCACAGAGAAGCTCATGTAGACATTTCTTAGCATATCTGTGATGTGCCCAACATATTCCCTAAGGAGCCACACAGGAGATGTCTGTCCAAGGGAATTCTGTGGAAACCAGTGAAGGGGGATATTTCTGTCTCCTCAATCCTCCTGCCAAAAAAGAAAAGGTGTCCTCCACACCTACATGGAAAAGCAGCACTGGAAAAATCTGTTTTCCAGGATTTTTTTTCAGTACAACAGCCTACAAAGGTTTTCACCCCTTCTGTGCATTCATGCAGAAATTTCTTCTCAAGAAGAGTTCAAGCTCTGCACTGCCACTGCAGGATTGACACAGAAAGAAAATATGAGAGTAACGTAAACAGTGTGCAGGCAAATGTGGGTGTACTTTCATTTTTTCATTAATTTACATTTCAGTTTCCTGAATTTGGAAGACCCCCACATTTTAGCATAATTTATGCTGTCCTGAATTGTATAAATCTTGGTGTTCTTTTTATAGGAACAGATTATAAACTCTGTGCAGCTGACAGAGACAAATGCCACACTTACTCCCTGGAGAATTCTAATCTCCCCCTCAAATTTTAAGATGTCAGTGAAAAACAATCCTCCTGTTTCTGAAACCCAACCCCAAGGAGCAATGATACTACCATCCATAAAAATAACTGGTCTGGGATCCTTAGGGATGTATCGCTGACAGAATTGTTCAGGGCCAAGACAGGGCAGATGTCCACATCATAAATCTGGAAAGGTTATGGTTCATGTGTGGCAGAAAATAGAGGAGAGAATGTTCATGGCCCAAACAGTACCTCCCCAATGAGAAGAACCATCCTTTGGAGACCATTTAGTGTCACATATTCCTCAAAACACTTGTAATTAATCTACACAGCTCATCACCACCAATGCAGTGGCTACTGAAGGTTTCCATTCATTCAAAAATCTGCCAGACAAATCCATGAGAGGAAGTGCAGACTCCTGATCCCAAACAGAACAAAGACAGCAGGACTGGGATGTGCCTGAGCCAGGAGCACTTGAGGAATGGGAAGTGTTAAGGAAAAGCCTCAGCACATCTGCCTGTCTCATCATTCCTGTGTTTTTCAGCCTCAGAAAGCTGCTGCAGCCAGGGCTGGCTGGGGCATCTTCTTTCCTGGGCAAAGCAGCTCGTGCCGTGCCCGGTGATTCTGGCTCCAGGCTGATGTGGGTTTCAAACTTGGCAAGTCAAGTTTGCAAAGTGCATGAGACAGAGCCTGGGGAGACACCATGCTGTAGGATGGATTTGTAAGGATCTAAAGCACCTGAAAGCAAGTGGGTGGCTCACTAGTGCCCCTTGGGTGCTGGCCAAGGCCCAAGAGCTTTAAACTGAACTCTTCCAAGCTCCTCCCTTAAGGGAGTTTGCTCCCCTGTGGTCTCACAAACTCCCCTTTACCCCTTGAGTTACTAATTTCTGAATGTGTAATGTAGGAATAGCACAGAATATTTCAACACAGCCACCCGTGTGCTCCCCAACAGTTTCCAAAGTACAGCACTGGTACACTCCACATCACTGTGCCTGTTTGGGAAACCCACAGAACACGTGATTTTTGCTAATGCTCTCAGCTCTTATTTTCAGTCACTCTTTGCTGCTGTGCTCTCATCTTACCTCTGAACTAATGGAGGATTGTTTTATTTACTGCAGTGTTACACAGCCTATGTGGATCAAATATTAAGTTACCATCTCATTTGTCAAGACAGCAACAATCCTGGTTTTCATGCTATAAGGCAGATTTTCCAGCAGTCACAGCTAACTTGGTACACCTGTGACTGGGTATAGATGCAAGGGATTTAATGAGTACTACAGGCTTCTCCCACGAGGCTTGTGGTGTTCCCTATTTCTCAGAAGAGTTATTGCAAGAACTCTGCCAATTAAAAAAGTGACATCATACCTCCTGTTGCTCTTTCACCCTGGGATTTCCTATTAGTTTCTTTAATTAGAGCTTTTTTTCTGGCCTTGAGCTGACTGAATACTGATGCCAAATATCTGTTTTAAGGCTGAAGAACTGGCAAGTTGCTAGTCCAGTGAAAAGCACAGGTATTATCTTCTATTCTCCCTTCCCATTGCCTTTTTAATCCTCCTACATTGCAGATCAGGAAAGATATCTTGACCTGAAATGTTCTCAGCAGGACAGGACTACACCTACACCAAACCTTCATCACCTATAATCCAGACAACCAACAGAGCCAGCAATGGGCAGCAGTGCCACTCACACCCACGTGCTGGGGGATCCCTCAGGGGCCCTTTCTCCATCTGCAGAGAGTTTGCAAACTCTGTCTGCTCTTCCTCAGTGTGACTTGTCTCCCGTGGCAGAGCAGCAGCTGGTTAGAGCCAGGATTTTTATTTGATTAAGGTAACAAGCAGCCAGCAGCTGACAGGAAAGGCTCCAGCAGGCAACTCAGTGCACCCATTTTCAAGCCAGAACGCATCTATTACTTAGCTTTTTAATGCTTTTTGGATGATGGAGGTGCACGATTCCCTTATGCTGAGACACTCTTCCCTAAATATTCACAATATCTCCTATCCCATTTTCTTGGCTACAGGATACAGGAGCCCAGATGAGAGATTTCTTGTCTGTGACACACCTGCTTTCATACCGTGTCTCTCTTTAAAGGCTTCATTTTATTAATACTTACAGGAAATAGTGACATATGTAAAGACAGGTTTTTGCTCTCTACTTGTTAGAGCTTGAATCCCCAGCTGGGAAAGGCTTTGGGCTTGGTTGCCACCATGAATAATTCCTGCCTTGTCTAGCTGGGACTACAGTAGCTCAAGAACAGTATTGGGCATGGCTATCCATTGAGTCTGTTTTCTTATCCCCTAACTCCAGCTTCCATTAGATAGGTAAGAGTGTCACTGACATGTTAAGCACCAGGACTCTCCTTGCTCACTGAGGCATAGGATTGCTACCACAGCTATAAGCAGAAGAAATGTGAATGCAAGGGCAACAAAAAGGAAATCGGAATGAGCTGGGAGTTCCACACCCATGGATGTACACTAACTATTGCATTTGCAATGTCTGAGAAGAGTCTGAATGCATCTGAATCACCAAAACTGGCCTTTGGAAGGAGGAAAACTCCATTAACTGCAATAAGCTTGATCTGACAAGCCCTATTCATTCAAAGCTGCAGACAGATTAAATCTGTCACTGGTATCCCTTAATTTATTGCAAAGGTGCAATCTGTGACTCACTCATAGGGCTCTGATGGAGATCTTGAAAGATAAGACTCCTTGTGAGCCACAGAGATATTGCTCTCATTAACAACTGCCAGCCAGCTACTAATTAGCTGCTGATTGAACAGTTGAGACAGTTCACACAATTTTCAAAGGTTACACCCACCCATTTGTCCAGCCCATCCTCAGCTTCCAAATGAGATGCCTGCAAGATACACTGTGAAAACACTTTACACAGCCTCAGGGTGTTCAGCAAGGTATTTAATATAATTTGTTATTTCCACCTCAATCTCCTCATCCACACACTCAAGTTTCTAGTTTGTGAGCTGAATGGTGCCAAGATAAAAACATGGATGGGGGCTCAGAAGGTGTCCTAAAGGGATACAGACTGGAAATGTTGAGATGCCTCCACTTTCCCACTTGACTCTGCTGGCTTGCTGTAATTCCTGCTCCTGAATTCACAGCCAGTCCCAGAACACGGTGCAGGGGAAGCCATGGTTAAGAGCTGGCAAAGGGTGAGGCAGCTGCCTCTCAAGAAGGATCTATTTTCAGCACAATAAAATCCTCCCTCTTCCATGGGAATTTCAGCACTGCAGATCCTTGCCCCCTCCTTGCTACTGTGCAGTAGCTGTAGTCTGGACTCCAGCCTCTAGCTGGAGTCTACCCTCAATCTGCCTCTTCTCTTTTGACTCCCCTGTGTTTTGCATCCAGCTGCAGTGGAGCCCAGCCCTGAAGAGATGGAAG